CCCGGCCGCGCACGCCCGCGGCGGGGAAAGTTGTGCGGGGAGGAGGCCGGCGGCCGCCGCACGTAAACAAGTCGGAGGGCGCGTCTGGAAATTAGCAAACAATGACCCCGGCCCCCCCTCCCGCCCCAGTCCTGCGGGGTGTTGCTCCCCCCGGGGGGGGGGAACCCATGGCTGTCCTGGCCGTCAGGCCGTGCGTGGAGGATCAGACCGCCGATTTGCTCTTGTTTCATCCCCCAAAGAGAAAAAGATGCGGGGGCGGGGGGGTGTTTTAGGTGTCTGAGCCCAAAGCAGAATTATTGCTATCCAGACACCTTTATTTTCTAGATGGATGATTTGGTTTGGAAAGGTGTTTTAGAACACACACTAGCCAGACAAGTAGCATTAGCAGAAAAGAAAGAGAAAGACAAAAGAAAAGAAGAAGGAGGAGGAAAAAAGAAATCTAGGGTCTCAGGATTTAGCAGGTGTATTTGGTCCCAAGAGGAGAAAGTTTGAGTATAGTCCTGTCTGTGTTCAGTTTACTTGTTAAGAGTTGGTCTTCCTGATTTGACTCTTTTTAAAAAAGAAAATGACAGTTACAAAGAGTAGCCATGAAAATGCGTTTGTCAACATGCCTTGTGTCGCCTTAAGAGACATGATTTTCATTTTTCAATGGTCATGCCATGTGCTCTGACATTAAATTGAGATCCAGCCTGTTTAAATGTCTTTGAATCAACTTGAGTTGGAAGCCAAGCCAGGGAACCTGTCCACTTTTCCTGGGTGGATTTTACCCAGCATTTGGCATTCTGACTAAAGACACATGATTGCTTCAGCAACCTGCACACATCACGTGGAAACACGTGGAAATTGAAGGGCAACTGCAAATCCAGGTTTTCAAACTCAGCTGAGCTGTGAATTCAATAAAGCCCACTTTGGGTTAGTCTGAAATGGGGTTTAATTATAGACATTTGGAGGATCTCTACTCATCTCTGTTTCCCCCTAATTTAGTTTAGGTACTGTTTAAATAAAAAGAAATCTGAACTAGTTTATGTATTCAAAAGATTTGGTTTGTCTCTCTTTCTTGGTACATTTTCTTCTGCTGGGGTGCTGATTACTTAAGTTATTTGTACTCCAGAAGTTGCTCCCAATGTGAGTGCCTTTGTGGTTTGTGATTCATTCAGGAATGTGGGCTCCTGTCTCTTGTTTATGACCTCAGGGAACTTACTACCTTATCTTAAAAGTGAGAGTAGTTTTGCCCAGTGTCTGGTGACATCTGAGGCCAATAACAGACTGGCTGTTAAGAAGGGAGAAAGAACTTCTATTTTCATAGCTAGGCAATCTTGTTCTTTTGCTTTTTGGGGGGCGGGGAGGGGTTACTGGTACTCTGGGCCTCACCACCTCAACTGGCTTTTTCCCCTCAAGGCTTGCACTCTACCATTTGAGCCACACCATACACACCACTTTTTACTGGTTAACTGGAGATGTCTCGCTCAGATTTTTCTGCCTAGGCTGCTTTTGAACTTAAATCCTCAGATCTCAGTCTTCTTAGTAGCTGGGTTTACAGAGTCTGAATCATCAGTCCTGGTGCATTTGTATATTTAAAAAAAACAGAAGACTGCCAAAGTGTAGCCTCCATAAAAAAGCTTGTCAGATATTGTATTTTAGACTGACACAGCAAATCCTCCCCACCCCCTTTTTGAAAGTTTGAAATTATGAATTGAAGTTTTGTCTGTGCTCTTCAGGTGTTGTGTGTGTGTGTGTGTGTGTGTGTGTGTGTGTGTATGTATGTGTATTCAAAAGAAAAACTTGCTTATAAACAATGTGAAAGATGTAAATCTTACTCCCTTGCAAATTATAGCTTATTTGCTTGATGACTTCAGCTTTCTGGGTTAACTGAGAAAACTGAATAACTCTCTGAAGTATAGTATTGATAGTATGCTTATAAAAAAATGGACCACAGAGATAAATTTAGGAACCTTCCCTGGCCTATGATTTGGCAAGACTTTTCTATTTCTTACAAACATATTTGCTGTCTCAAAGAAGCTTAAGGGTTGGCAATTGTGGGCAGAATTTTCCCTGAAGACCAAGTAATATTTCAAGTTTACTTTGGAGTGAGTAACGTTTCAGGGATTATTATTGCAAATACATTCTGTGATTTGACTTCACAAAACCTATAGATTATGGATGATCTATACCACAGAGGCTGTAATTTCTTGCTTATTCCTATTCAGGTCATTAAGATTCTAATTTTTGGTTGTTTTCTCATGCCAGATTATCACCATGAGGTCTATAAGATCTCAGAATTCACCAACGATATTAATGGGGAAGCCAAAGAGACACAACCCATTTTTTTAGGTAGGTTCCTCTGTTAATTAATTTCTCAGCAAAACAGTGTGGCTGTTTGTAATGGGGGGGGGGGATAAGAGTGTGCAAGAACGGGAAATGTCTGCCATTGCTTAATGTATGACAATCTTCTCAAGACCTTTTATTTTACAGATTGCCAATATATCCCTTATTAACATTGCTAAAAGTTGTAATTTCAGACATAAATGTTTATTAGTATCTACACACAGTGCTAATTATCACTCACTCACAGAACCAGATGCTGACTGTGCAATTTTGTCGCTCTGTGCTCACCCCATTTCCATTGCATATTCGCTGGCATGCTTCGCTGGCAATAGTTTGTGTAATTGGGGTATTACATCTTTGACATCTGGATAACAGAAATTCAATTTCCAGGAAGCTGCTATTTGTTTGGTTTTTGCTTCTGCCTTGGGTGGGATAGAGGATTAATGTGCTGTCTTATTATAATGTCCCTTCACCTCTGTGGCCTGGTTGCTAATCCTGCCATGACAAAATTAAATTAAATCGACAGTCAAAAAGCGTAAGGAGAATAAAAGTGTGATTGTCTGCCTAGCCACGTCTTGATAGTGGTAGTTATCAGTGAGCCAATCCTCATTTCTTTAGCTCTCTGTTCCTTTCTCTCCATCATTTACAGCCAAGGTGCACAGCTCAGCTTTTGTCCTGTCATCCTGTTCTTGCATCACTTGAGGGACAGGCAGAGCCATGGTACCATCTTCTAGACTTTTAACAAGTGTTAGAGCTCCATGGGTAGGTGGGTAGCTGAAAGTATGGATGTTCTGTTGCATATAGTTTTGGTATACATCATGTACATGAGGAACTTTGGATGTGAAGTTAGTCATCTGCAAACCATAAGCCCAAAGGGATTTTTTCTCCAAGAACAAAGTGCAGATAAAGGCAGAGTAGAGAGGAAATGGTAGCATTTGACTTCATGTTTGCCTGTTTAGGGCACTCTATAACTCCACATTGTCGGGTGAAGGACAGGTGCTTCACAACCAGGAAGCAAAGTGTAAGATCAAGTTGGAGTAAGTGTGATTGAGATCAGGGTTCAGAATTGCCCTGCGGCTGGTCTCAGAGGATCCCTGTTCAGATCCAGTTGGGTACTCCTTCAAATGAAAACATTGTGACAGCCCGAGTGCCTACACTTTCACCAGGATCTCCCTGTTCTGCTTTGAGGGAGAGAAAGTGGGTTGCAAAGGTCTGAGAGGAAGTTAGACTTAAAGAGAATGATCTTTAGTCTCATGTGGATCTGTCCACCAAAGGAGAGAGTTTTCCTAGGGCCAGCTCTTCTCCAAGCCCCTGATAACTATTAAGAGTAATAAAAGCTGAAGGCTAATTAATTACCAAATGAAATGCCTAGCCCCAGAGAAAGTCTTGGATTGTACACCTTGGCCAGCTAAATTCTGTATTTAAGTACCACTGGATGTAGCCATTGGAAATAAATTTACCTTCTGTTCAAAAATTTGTATGTATCATACAAATGGAACATCATCTCCTTACTTTAGTTCTCTAATGAAAAATTTCCTACAAGCCCCCTCCTGGTAGTAAGGACACTCTACAGTAAGAGGAGAGATAAAAAAGAGGGTGCTAGTGCTCATGAGCCAATAAGATGTAAACTTCAAAGCAGCTGCCATTGCTGCTTTCATTCATTCGTTCATTCATTTTTTTATTGTGAAAATACTATACAGAGGGGTTACAGTTACATGGACATCGTTCATTCATTTTAAGACAAGATTTCACTGCATAGCCAGTCTAGCCTTGAACTTACCACCCTCCTGCCTCAACTTCTCAAGTGCTGGGGTCACAGCACTACCACATCTAGTTGAAGATAAAAGAATACCTACTGATAAGACATCAGAGATGGGTCCACTTTCAAAGTAGTAGCTCATGCTACTCAGGAGGCTGAGATCTGAGGATCATAGTTCAGCCCAGGCAGGAAAGTCTGTGAGACTCTTGTCTCCAATTAACCACCAAAAACATGGAAGTAGAGCTCAAAAAGTGGCGCAGGTGGTGGAGTGAGAGCCTTGAGCCAAAAAGCTCAGGAAAGAACCTTAGTCCTGAACTCAAGCAACAGGTCCAGCACCAAAATAAATAAATAAAATATATACATAAGTAAATAAAATGGTCATAAAGACGTTTGGCACTAAAAGAGAAAAGATTGGGCAGCTTGGGAATATGCAGTGTGTTTTTTCTCAGGCACTTTTGATTTTCTGGGAAAGCCAGATGTGATTCCCCAAGAACATTTTTCTTTTGGGATCTCTAGATCAGTTTAGGAAATAATAGAGGTGACGACACAGATAGGATTTCTGGAGCACTTGGTAACAGCTACTGATCACATTTGAAATGAGGAATTTTGTCATGGGTGGTGTTACAGTTTACAGTTACTCTTCTCGAGGCATTGATTTTCATCAGACTTAATTTTGTAAATTGTTAGTCTCGTCATATTTGTGATGTTACTTCTGGTGTGGAGTTTTATGGCAGCTAGGAGAGTTAATGCCAAGACACTAGAGCTCTTCCACCTGTAATAGAGCTAACATGGTCTCCGTGGTGTTCGGAAGGCTTTGTACTTTCAAACACAGGTGTTATCTTTGACTTCTGCATGTAGAAGAGTCAGAGTTCATGTCCCAGGGGAAAGAAGAGTACTCCAGCATTTGACCGAAGTTCCCATATCCCATCTCTGTAGAATATTTTTAGGCTGTTAACTATTGTAGTGTATCCAACATGGTAAGTTCCATAGTGTGAATGGCTTATCTGAGTGCTTTGGGAATTACTTACAGAGTTTTAATTTGAGAATAGGGTCGGAAGGGGTAACTGCATCCTGTGGACATTGGCTTTCTCAGGCTGCCTTGACGGAGCTGCCAGTAAAATCTGCAGAATTGTTCGGAGGAAAACAATTCACTTGATCCATTCAACCCATTTTTTTTCCTTCTTCTGAGAAAATACAGTGAACTGTGCACTATTCTGGAATGGGAACTAGGTCAGAAATGAGGAGAACAGGTATTCTCATCTGAATGACTAAAATCCACATAGGACAAACTCAGGAAGCAGTTAAGCAGCAATGCACTACCCACAGCAGCTATCATGAGCCCCATGTTCAGGGCACCACATTGAGTCCATAAATATCTCCAACACTCCTCACATTCTGTAACAGTCAGTATCATCTGCATTTTGATAAGGCTTGGTGAAGTTAACATGCCAAAGGCCTGCCATAAGTAGGGTCCCAGGGCAGTTCTGCCTGAGTTTTGAGCACCCCACTGTACCACTGTGTGAACAGTAATTAAATGACAGTTGTGAATGATTAGGGCAGTGAGCAAAAGCAGAGTAGGAAGGCCTGGTAAAGCCCTTAACTGTGGGAAAGATCTGCATCGGCAAAGATGCCAGGTGGAGGGTGATGTGTGCCAAGGCAGAGATATAAGCATCATTATAATTAGACCTTAAGTGAGTGTTGTTCTGTGTAGTTTAGAGCACTTTCACATCTGTTATCTCAGGATTTTAATAGTCAGGACAGTTATTATTCCCATCAGAGTGGAACCTGAAGCTTAGTGAGGCGACTTGTTTTTAAGTTGTAAACCTGGAGTAAACTAGGACTCCTCTACCACGCTGAATTCAAGAATCATCGAGGAGACAACTGTGGGTAGGAAGACAGATTTTTAAGTATTAAATGAGACAATTGATTATTCGTAAGAGTAATACCAACCTTAAATGAAATATTTTAACATGATGGGTTTTAGTTTAGACTTATGATGATAGTATATACATTTTAACATGTTGATTTTTCATTTGTTTATCCATTCAGCAAACATTTATTAGGCTCCAGTTATGTATACACCAAGTTCTGCGCTAATTGTTCTAATATTCAACTTTCAGTAGATTCAGCACAGGAGGTGGTAGCCATGCTAATTGAACCTGAGTCCAGATCTCTGGATTTTTTAAAAAATCTCCATTTCAATGACTTTCTGGATGACAGCCTCCCCCACCAGGGTCTATAGTCTTTTCAGAGCGGACACACTCAGAAAATTCTTAAATTTGCAAGTTAGGAAGTCAGCCACAATGTAGTGGTTCTTGCTGGAGAGCAGGCAGGGCCAAGTGTGGAACAAGGCCACTATTCCCCTGTGTGGCCTGAACGGGCTGGAGCTAGGCTCTTCCTCCCAAGGGGAAAGAGTCCCCGATGTTCTACCGTCCTGTGGCAGGATTCAAAGAACAGTGCATCCCTTGTTGTCAGTGTATTTGATTTTGATACCTTGGTATTGTATATACCTTTACTTGAATTACAGAAAGAAAGGGGAACAACAGAATGGCGGACAAAGAAAAAGGGTGGGGGGAACCAATGCAACAGTGATATACACAAGACAATATGTTGGAAATGATCTGTACAACTTAGGGGTAATGGGGTGTGGGAGGGAAAGTAGGAGAAAAATGAGGGAAGGGGTAACAAGTTTGACAAGAAATGTACGTATTAACTTATGTAACTGTAATCCCTCTGAACATCACCTTGACAAAAAAAATTAGTAACATCAAAACAAAAAAAGAATGGGAAGCTAAGGGAGTCAACAGAAAGGGAAGGGATGAACCCCTAAAATTCCACCATCTGGAAACCTCAATGTCTTACCTGTGTTCCTCTTCCCAAAAATCTTTATCCTCAGTATCGTGGTCTTGTGTCCTGTTTCCCTGCCTTCTTTCACACCATTTCTCTTTTTTGGTGGTGGAGTAAAGAACAGAAAACGAGGAGTATCTGTTGAGGTTGTTAGGAATGTAGCTAAAGTGGGTGTCATTTATCAAGAGTGTGCCAGGCACCATACTAAGAATGTTGTAAATATTATTAATTGTACTCCCCCCCTCAAAAAAAAGGTATTGACGTTCCCATTTCATAGGTGAAGAATTGGAACATTTCATCCAAGTTGTTCAGTGACAGAAGCAGGATGGAAACCAGTATCTGTCTCCAAAAGCATGCCCTGGACCACGTCCCAATGCTTGTTCAAATGACTCACTTGTGG